ACACTCCTGACTCTAGTTCATTCATCGCCGCCCTAAGATTTAGGAAAAGATTTAGGGACGCAAGATTTCTAGGTTAGATGATAAGTGATAGAGAAGCAGTCAAATTGACCTCCTTGACGCCACTCAGCACACGTGATGAATAGTTGGTGCCCGTAACTATATGCAAGCTGCTCTTTGTTACATTAGAATGAACTGAAACTCATGTAATCGAGTAAGCATAGAAGTGCAGAAGCCGGTAAGGAAGCCCCATGACTTAGGTTCGTCGGGATAGCGTCGTAGCGAGTGAAAGCTGGCAGTCATACATAAGTTCGGGACTTGTTGAATAGGGCCGAAAGCTCCTCAGCTCTCCAGCAGGCTATCAACTCTAAAATCGGGATATATCAACCACTTAAGATCAATTTAATATCTGATAAGGCCTAGATGCCAAACAGTCATAATAAGATGGCATTCGGGGGAATGTCGATACCTAAAGTGAGGTACCCTCTACTAGGTATGTAGCTATTAGGTTCGTCGTATAAAGAATCTCGCGTTACTCGCGTCATAGGAGTCGGCGAATAATGATTTATCATAGTCTGATGCGGATAATCAATGTTCCGAGACATCAACAACTCGTAATAGTGTACCTAATGGGAATCCGTAGACCTAGGTAAATTCAAAAGGAATTAAAAGTTTTTCAAATTGGAACGGATTGGAACATTGGAAATACATAGAGACCTGTACCTATCATTCTAATTGAGGCGTGCCATTGCTTACATAATCCCTGGTCGTACACTAGTCCGGTGGTCGCGACTCGCGAGCACTAAAACTCACATTGGTTAAACGCTATGTAATAGTGGATATGTACCGCCTAGATAGCGGGTCGCAACCTTACGATCTTTTGTTTGTAGGGCTATTGTAGGGTCTACTATGTACCCCATGCAAAGCCTCGACCCTTACGAAATCTCCACTAAATCCGAATTTAGCCATTCTTTCTCGACTTTGACTCATAGCCTTGCATGCTACACATAATGATCTCATAATCCTATACAAGGATTGTGTTTTAACAAGGTAGTTACCTATTGTTGCCTCACGCATATTTCCATCTTGGTGGATATAAGCTAAGCTATCCGCCACAAAACGGCTCTATGAAGCGTTGGAAGTGGCATCCGAGTTTTATCACTGGTTAACTTTAACTCACGAATCTCACGAAATCCTTCTCTATTTTTCTTTTTTTCAAACGTCTTTCTTTAATTCATATCTCGCCACGCAGCGCTACTTACAAACATTTATATCAACGAGTCATTGGTTTTAGCATCTTTCAAAGCCGCTGTATTTCAAAAAGCGCATTACGAGGTGGTCTAGTCATAATCCTTCAGGCTTCAGTTGTTAGACTACCTACCCAAGGTACCTAAGCTTTAATAGACCCATTTGAAGTTAACAACTACGGACGGAGCAACCATGGAGGGTCCACAATCTTCCGAGCTGTCGTCAAATTCCGCATCGAGGAATCGTGGCCATCGCCCTCGAGGGGGGAGAACGTCTGGCAGTCGTGGGGGTCGTGGGAGCCGTGGAGGTCGCGGCAATCGAGGTCAACGTAGTCTGCAAGTCGTTGAGAGGAACGAGACGTCACCAGCAAATCCTGAAACTTCTGTCGCCTCTCCGGCCGTAGCACCCTCAAATACTAGCAGTCGAGGTGATAGAGGTCGGAGAGCCTCCAGGGGTCAAAGGAGAGGACGTGGTGAAAATGTCCAGAGAGCGACAATGAGCAGGCCCCGAAACTTTGGCGGTCACCTGACAACCAATGCCGGGGAATCCGGTGCCACGAGTTCGACGTCTTTAAATGCTGAAGTTATGGAATTTATCCCCGGCCAACCATTAGCTGGCCGAAGTAATAGTACCGCCATAAAACCTCAGCCGAAGAGCAGTAGCGGCAGAAAAGCTCCGAAGTCTAATGCATCTGATCTCACTACGCGTATTTCTGATGATATTGATAACGGACATTATGAATGCGTGATTTGCACGAATGAGGTTCTGCGGAACTCCAAGGTCTGGTCATGCTCTATATGTTGGACCGTAACGCATATGACCTGCGTTAAGAAATGGTTCTCCAACCGGACGATTAATTCGGACCAAATCAACTGGAGGTGCCCAGGATGCAACTCCCCTTTGACCGATGAGCCTACTACTTATCACTGTTGGTGTGGTAAGGAGATCAACCCTCGATCGGTTCCCGGGGTTGGTCCCCATAGTTGTGGCCAGACATGCTCGAAGCCCAGAGCGACTTGTCCTCACCCATGCCCCCTCGAATGCCATGCTGGCCCCTGTCCACCTTGCCAGCTCATGGGGCCGACTCAATCCTGTTTCTGTGGCCAACATACATCTACAAAGCGCTGTGGCGAGACGGATTATGTTAATGGATGGAGTTGTCACGGGGTCTGCGGGGATGAACTTCCCTGCGGAGAGCATAAATGTCAAAGGGAGTGTCATCCCGGCCTCTGTGGCAGTTGTGATATTCCTGTCTTCTCTCTCTGTTATTGTGGCCGTGAGTCCAAAAACATTCCTTGCGAACAGCGTGGTGACAGAGGAGAAACTTTTAATCACCGCCAAGTCAAAGCGGCAGACGACGTGGACAGGGAGGATTTACCTGATCATTGGTACTGGGGTACCTTTGATTGCAATTCTGTCTGTGGCAGATTCTTTGATTGCCAAAGGCATCGCTGTAAACAGAACTGCCATCCTCAAGATGAGAAGGACGCGCATTGTCCGTTCTCTCCTGATTTAATCACCCACTGCCCGTGCGGGAAAACACTACTGGTTGATATTCTAGATCAGCCAAGGGAGAGTTGCGAAGATCCGATACCCAATTGCGGGAAGACATGCAACAAACCACTGTCGTGCGGACATTCTTGCCAAGACACTTGCCATACTGGATCTTGTGCGCCATGTATGCAGGCAGTGGAAATTAACTGCAGATGTGGCCGGACGAAGGCGATCTCGATCTGCCACCAAGGAACAGTTGCGACTCCCGAGTGCATGAGGATTTGCCGGGTACAGCTCAATTGCGGGAGACATGAGCATGGCGAGCATTGCTGCTCCGGAGAAAAGAAGGCAATGGAACGAGCAGCCGCCAGACGGAAGAACAGGAACGCTGGTCCGACAAATAATGAGGTGGAAGCGGAACACATCTGTACTCGCCCCTGTGGACGGGCTTTAAAATGTGGAAGACATCAATGTCAACAAATGTGCCACAAGGGATCTTGTCCTTCGTGTCCCGAAGCTATTTTCGAGGAAATCAGCTGCAACTGTGGCCGAACAATTCTCCAACCACCGCAGCCTTGTGGTACACAAGCGCCAGAATGCCGCTTCGACTGTACCAGACCTCGTCCATGCGGTCACCCTCAAATATCTCATAATTGCCATCCCGACGGAGAGCCGTGCCCGAAATGCCCGTTCTTGGTTGAGAAACGATGCGTCTGCGGTAAGAAGGCGCTGAAGAACCAGCCTTGCTGGTTTGAAGAACCACTTTGCGGCTTACCCTGCGGGAAGAAGCTCAAGTGTGGCGCTCACGCATGCGAGAAGACCTGCCACCGCCTAGGTGAATGTGAAGATGCTGATATCGCAGGGTCTCGATGTAAACAGCCCTGTGGCAAGAAACGGACTTGTGGGCATCTGGATGCCGAACAGTGCCATGCCCCATACCCGTGTAAGGAGGACAAGCCATGTCAAGCGAGAACATTTATCACTTGCGATTGCCAACGTAGAAAGCAGGAGGTTAGATGCCTAGCTACGAAGCGCAATTCATCGCCCCAGCGGGATACGATCAAGTGCGATGAAGAATGTCTTCGATTGCAGCGAAATGCTCTCTTGGCAAACGCCTTAAATATCGATCCACTAACTCACACGGATGATCATGTGCCATATTCTAACACGACTATCAAGCTTTACAAGGACGATCCGCAGTTCGCCCAGACATACGAACGGGAACTTCGCGTCTTCGCAGTAGACTCGACGCAAAAGTTCATCCGGTTTAAACCAATGAAGTCTTCCCAGCGAGCGTTTCTTCATTCCCTCGCTGAAGACTTCGGATTTGACAGCGAGAGTGCCGATCCAGAACCTCATCGGCACGTATGTCTCTTCAAGACACCGCGATTCGTATCTGCGCCAATGAAAACGCTTTCACAATGCATAAAGAATAAGCCCCCAACACAAGCCCTCCCTACAAAAGCACCAGCAGCAGCTAGCGAACATATCTCGACGAGACAACCTTTTAACGCTCTACTTTTATCGGCACCGCAATTTGGTTTGACTATCGAGGAGCTTGATTCAGCACTTCAGCGAGAGTATGCTGCCTATCCAGATATCAAGTTCGAGACAAGTTTCCTACCTTCCAACGAAGTCGTTATCAAGGGCTCTGGGCCGCCAAGTCCACAAAATCTAGAATCATCGCTTTCATCTCTTAAACCTAGTTTACTAGCCAAGGTTACGAGCTCAGGATTTGCCAGCGACGTTTCTCTCTGTCATGTTGACGAGCATTTGAACGTACTACGGAGCGAGAAAGATGCCCAGGGCAAAGGGAACGAGGGTTGGAGCTCGGTTATGCGCCGCTCTGCCCGCCCCAAGCCAGTTACCTCTCCGGCAGCTTCCGCTATGCCGCGTAGGGATGGGTTCATCGCTCTAAGGAAAGAGCCAAGGAAGAAGATGGAGGAACAGACTGTCGAAGAGGACTGGGAGGCAGCGGCTGAAAAGCTAGACGAAGAATGAAAGCGTTATTATATTTATAACGTGAGAAATACTACTTGAATGGGTAGCTCAGCGCTTATAGTCATAAGGTAGATACTGTATCAATATGAACAGTTTTCTTCCACTTTTCATAGTCAACGAGTTGAGCAACACTCGATATAGAAAAGGGGTCAAATTCAGGGGTAATGAGTCTGATGACTTACTAAATAGACGCCCCACCGTAGATAAAGAAAGATAAAGATAGATATAGATAGATGAAAGATGATCGTCATAGGATGCAGGGACCTGTAAAGCTCCCATTTCCTCAATTACTGTGTAAAAACCGTCAAGATGAATAACTTCGGCGTGATAGAGCTTGCGAGTGCCAAAACTACCAATGCTCCTGGCTGGGCATACGTGCCTGATACAGCCCCTCACTTAGCAGCAGCAGCCGCTGCATCACTCCAAACAGGGAACAGAAAAAGAGCTGCTCGCAACCAAGTGACCAACACCAGCGCCTTATACGCCGACGCAGATGCCCGCCAGGAAGCTAAGCTGCGCAGGGAGATCGAGGCCCTCGACCGCGATAATTACCACCGCGACGTGAGCATACCCATCGTAGCGAAGAGCAATAATAGTAGCAGCAAGACAGGCGCGAAGAAACATACCCCCAACGTCCGCAGGATCCTACAGTCCCAAAAGACTTTCGCAAACCACCTCGACGACTTCGAAGCCCTCCTCGCACAAGAGAAATCTAATCCGAGCGCCGCGGCTTCCGCTGCCGCCCCCACATCTGCAACCGCGACGGCTTCTTCTTCTTCGATCGCAGGGAATACGAAAAAGGGCGCAGCAGCAGCAGACAAACACCACCAGCAGAAAAACAGCAAAAAGTCTTCCAGGTCCAACATATCCCGCTCAGCATCAATTTCCAAAGCCGCACCAGCCGTAAAACAAGAAGAAGACACCCCGATGTCCGACGCGCCCCAAGACGCCGCCCCAACAAACCCATCTTCCTCTTCCTCCTCCTCCCTCCTAACGCCATACTCGCGCCCCGGACACCCCCCCACACACCCCCTCGACAACGACCCGCTGCTCGCCTCCCGCGTGCCCGCGCCGCCCAGCCCAGCCGAGCTGCGGGCGCTGGTCTCCGCGCCGCCGCTGAACTACGCCGAGGCGCGGGGGCGCTGGACGGCCGAGGACGACGGGAGGAGGTATCCGGCGCGGGTGTTCTGCGAGGTGTGCGGGTATTGGGGACGGGTGCGGTGCATGCGGTGCGGGGCGAGGGTGTGCGCGCTCGAGTGTCTGGAGACGCATCGCGAGGAGTGCGTTTCGCGGTATGGGCTGTGATTCTGGGTACGTACCTACCTATTTGGTGTAGCTTAATTCGAATGGGAGAGCCTCGGCTGTGAGTACAGGGATTGTGAGTGGAATGGCTTGAGTAGGAAGAAGTCTGACCTGTTGGGAAATTTGCAATAGGTGGTGGCATTTGTGTTTTATAGGTTAGCGGAAGACTCTAGGCGTCCGGTTATAAAAGGGGAGTTCTCTGTTATTCTGTTATATATGTATATATATCTGAGAGGACAAGGCGCAGAACGATCATGTCAGAAAGATACCCAGTCACAATACAAGCTAAATCAGCATTCAAACGGGTTTTGCTGGTTGAAGGATATATATACAGCGTTTATTTGTTTCTGCCCAGCCCTCCAGTTCAGCTGGAGGTGAAGGTTATGTGTGTGTATATCTTTTGTACATGTCTAGGTAGGTACCTAATCAACGCGGCAGCGATGTTCACGACGGCGCCGCATAGACGAAAAAAGGGGATATGCGCGCCTAACCTGTCAAACGCCCCGAGTCCCGATGTCCGCCAGGGTATCCGAGACCCCATACACGTCCATACGCCTACCGCCAGATCTCTGCAAAAGAAAAGCATAACTCTTTTTGGTCCTCCTCCATGTCCTTTATAATGCGAGTGATTCCGATACTTTTTATACATTGCGGACTGATGGGCTGTCCACTCCTTTACAACGGCGAATCGAGCGTGAAGTCCACGTTGCCGCTTGACGCACCGCCGGCACACGTACCCTTCATGCTACCTGTTGGGCAGACGGCCCTGGCTGCGCGAACGCATTGCTCCCATCGGCCCTTGGAGATGTTGATCGTAGCACCCGATGTCGCCGCGCTCAGCTTGAACTCGGCACTGCCAGATCGACCAGTCGTAGTCGTAGGCGCGCCACCACACTTCTGGATAGATCCTGCGATGCCTCCACAGATAGCAAGTTCCGCTACGTTTTGATCGTGGAACACGATGTTTCTGTATTAACAATCAGCCGGAGTCCCCATATGTTGCACGCGGTATATAGGTTAGGTAGTTAGTCTATGAAAACTTACTTATTTGGGTCAATGCACTCTACGCCCGACACCGCCGCGGGATTCACCGACGTCGAGGCTCTCATGTGAAGGACTTCGAGGTGCTCGCCATCGATCGAGTAGTGCGGCCAAACGGGGCTTGCCGACGAGAGACTCGCGCCGGCGACGAGCAGGACAAGGGACTGAAGAAGAGTCGTGGAAAGCATCTTGGCTGGTAGAAAGAAGGTGATTCGAGTCTAGCTCAGAACGAAAAAGAACGAAAATTGAAGACGAAGAAGAAGAATAAAAAAGAGTGAACTGAATAGTCGAAGGAACGTTATGAAGAAAACAGACGTCAAGCCAGGAATGTTGAAAAAGAGAAGAAAAAGAACGAGGCGGTGACCTGCACTTTTCCAGCCGCAGAAGAGAACTCGGATAGGTAGATCGACGGCGGGTTGAGGTAAGGCTTAAACCAGAAACGAAGTTTACGAAAAGAGTGTGTAGAGAAATAGTTAACTACCTAGGCTTAAATTTTAAGAGAGAGACAAGACAAGACAAGACACGACACGGGAATACGAACGAACAAGGCACGACCGAGCACCAGGCAAGAAAGGGACCACAATCACGGACACGATAACTATTTCCGGATCTCCAGTCCAGACGCAATCCTAATCGGGGCCAGGGCGGAGAACCCTGACAGCCTGACCCCGGCGGCTTAGTTCCCAAGTGGTGCGCTCGTCGATCAATCTGTGACGAACCTCCCCTTGGGACGAGGGGGGTCGTCCGGGGTGGAGGAGGCGGCGGCACGCAAGGGGGGGGAGGGTGGGTGGAATGCTCGGCCGCGGACTAGACGATACCGACTCTATGTAACAGCTTGGCCGTTTTCAAAAGTAGAAGCGGTTGTGCGTAGGTAACTACTGTACGTATAACTATACCTAAGTAGCAAAGCGCATAGTCATTCTTACACGTTAGCTCTTAACAGCAATATTTTATGAAATCGTACCTATTTCACGTGTAGACCTTGGCAGCTCTCACTTAACATCGGAACGTGGGAATCCCGTCCGATCATTTTATTCAAGTTCGTCCGATGAAAAAGGGATTTACCTGTCAATCTACCTCGTTAGGAAGGCCGGGGGGAAGAGATCTGTCTCGATTCTTTCTTCCAGCCACATCCCAGACAAGCGCTGGAGATCACATATACATACATACTTTCGAGAGACAGGGAAAAGATTCGAGCGTTGAAAAGACGTCGGTGGGAATCGAGGCCCAACATGAAACGGTGGCGTCGGGGTTAATACATACATGCAGGGGGTAACTGGCAAATGGGCGACATCGTCTCAAGCCAAATCGGACCACCCATTCGGAGCAACCCAAGTTTGTTTCGATGTTTCTGAAACCTGTAATTCCCGATCCCCTCTTCTAGATCTCCACGCTACCAGCTAGAGATTCGGGGGCCCTTCGTCACCACGTTACCATGGACTGACTCAAGTTAAGCATTTCTGCGCCGTAAGATCCTACGGTACATGGTAGGTAGCTATTAAAAACAACGTTAGATGAGGCAGGCCGGGAAGGATTAGAAACGGTCCAACCAAGGCTGAATTACGTACATCGCCCTTGTTAAGAACTTGATACATACATAACCAAGCCCAACCAATAACGAATATTCTCTTTCGAAGGAAACGTTCAACATGTGACGAAAAGGTAAAAGTGCCTCCCTCTAATTAAATTCGGTGTGCGCGTTGGTTACACTCCTTTCCGCCCACCACAGACACCACAGATTCCAGAGTCCCCGGCGTTCAAATACAAGCTGTCCCGGCAAGACGAGCTCTTGCATTTCCACGAATTCGGTACCTTGCTGGGATCTAGAACGTGAGAACAGATACCACATATAGTAGCTCCTGAACCATTATCGAACGAGCACATAGGACAAGCGCCCGTAGCTGAACTAGGGATGCTACTAATAGAGATAGTAGCGCTGCTTGCTTCTTCTGACGGTGGACTCTTAATACTCTTACTCGACTTCTTCTCGCTGGCGCGTCGTTTCGTCGATGCCGTTGCTTGAGGTATAGTTCTTATCGGTGCTACCACTTCGAGCTTCTCGGGCTTCACTTTAATGGTGGATTGGAAAAGCTCCTTAAGTTCGTTCTGTACATCTTCGTCTCTGGCGTCTTCGTCCTCGCATACTTTGACCAAATTATGGCCCTTATTATCAACAAGCCGTCGACCGTTGATATCTACGGCAGCTTCGCCTTCACTATCGCTAGACGTCTCTGATTCGCTGTCTTCTTCTTTCTTGACATCGCTATCTTGTTCATCTTTCGTTTCTTCGGCCTTCTTCTGCTGGTCGAACCGTGCCAGGGCTGCTGCCGCTCTGAGTTCCCGGCCTCGTTTGCTTCCTGCTACACGGGGCTTGCCTTGAGTCTTCTTCCCCTTCTCTAGTTCGGTTTTAATAACTTCGTCTTCGCCGAGAGCGACTCCGTTCGCACCAAACTTCTTCAAAATTCGGCGCTCTTTTCGTTCCTGATAAGATAATTGCTTCTTTTGTTTTCGCTTTCTGCCCCTTGAACGATAGGTTCCGCCGCACAGATGCTCCGGTAGATCTTTGTCCGACAATACCGTATTCTTCTCGAACTCTCCGGTTTCTAGTAGCGTGCCTCTTCCCCATAATCCCTCGCCGGTGTATTTGCGCGACCACAGGACTCTCATTTGATCTGCATAGCTATTTCTGACAGCCCAAAAAGCCTTAGAGTGATTCATTTGCTTGCAATGAGCCAGCCTTGTCGAATACACCGTTAGCATTAAACGCACCTAAGGTAGATAAGCTTTTAGACAAATACATACTCGTGCATCATCACCATCTGAACGTAGTTGAAGGGTAGCCATTGTCTGGTAGAAAGTGATTTCAACACTAGCTGTATAACTTCTCCCGCATTGAAGTTACGGCCAACAAACTCCCTGTTTGGCTCGTACTCTTCTAGGGACACAACTGAGATGTGATGTTCTTTCATGATTGGTACTACTAATGATTAGCAAATGAAAGTAACTTCAATTTGAGTTGATATATACGATGCAGTCAAGACTGGTTTAAGCTAGTACTTACAACATTGTGCTGCGATCCGTTCCAAGAACTGCTGCGCGATCTCTTTGTCAGGGCCTTCTAAGGGTTTGATGAAGACGATATGGTCATTTGGCTGCGATTTTCTTGCATTGATTCGCTCGAATCCAAGAGGCATCGTGATATACGATCAAGCCGTTCAAGTGATAGGTAGGATGTAATAGTAGAGTACCTATTTAATGATTCTTTAACGCGTGCCGCAAGTGAGATGAAATGAGGGTGGCGTTGCCTCTCAAAAACGTGCCCCGAAAGAGGAACGTTGTTTGTTGTTTACGATCAATGAGAAGGGTTCAACTTTCTACGGCTCTTCCAAGCCAGCTAATGAACGGATTAAAGTACCTAGATTAGTTTTATGAAGAGCCTCTGATGGCGAGAATCAAGAAGTATGTAACACTGAATCAACTACCTAAACCTTAAATGATTCACTTTTTCCTTGCCTTGTAACGGGAAGCGATGTGGCGATGGCGATTGTTAGGCTTAGGCGGTTATAGGGGACATCTTATCGGCGTTACAGGCAGAACACCCCCATAAGCCCCACTATCATCCCCTACGACCCTCCCGAGCCCCGATTCAAACTGCTACATGTGAAGGTCAACTAGTTACTTGAAGTAACTCAACATGTAATTTCTCTACACTATTAGATGAGTTCAGGTTCAATTCTTATTGACGCTATCGGCTAATGACTATATGTACTAGTAGGTATAGAAGCATTTTGCTCATTTGTTCTTTTATGTACTGACATGTACGTACGACATCGTCACATTCTTTTCCTTCAGGGTAGTTAGAAAAAAAAAAAAAGAAAAAACCCCATTATCGTCTTCGACCAGTACCACCAGCCCCTGAATCCCCTTTATCAGCTAGTGACACAACCTCGCCAATGCCAGCAGCTTCTTGTTCATCTTCGAGGGCAGTAATCTCCTCGCGGCAGTCCCACCACTTTTCTTCGCTGAGCTCAAACGCCTTGGTCTTAATCTCCTTGACTGTAAGAGTTTCAGGTTGAATGCCCTTCCATCTCAAGCTCATCATAAGGATTTCTTGCCATTCGTTCGAAGTCCGGGCGAAGAAATCCCTTCTAGACTCAAAAGGCTATACGAGGTTAGTTATTTGCTACAAAGGTGGGATTTATGGAGAAACATACCCGTGGATGTGGCAATCCATCATCAACTGTAGTTGCAACCGTGTCGGCTTCTGACTCGTTGTCCCATGTTGAAGATCCTGCAGTAGATGCTGTGTCGGATACCGACACCTCGTCTGTCTGTCTCTTCTTACGTTTACTTGGTGATACAAGTGCTTCAAGGTCTTCGTCGGGCATTTCGATATCGCTCTCATCTTCATCTTCGTCTTCGTCCTCCTCGTCCTCCTCATCTTCATCCTCCTCATCGGAGCCCTACAATACTTGTGTTAGACCAAAAAGACCAAATTAAAGTTACCAATAATAAGAAAATGGAAATTCTTACGACCCAAGTATCGTCTTCTCTCTTGAAGATCTGCTTGCAGCCATCCATCTTGCCAAGATCGATAGCGTACAAATCGTCAAACGTAAACTCCCGATCTTTCGCCTCATAGGTACCACCATAGATGTACAGCACATCATCCTGCACTGCCAATTGGGCGTTAAACCGTGGGTGTGGAAGATCCATGGATACCGGCATCTCTCGTGTTGGCTTTTCTGGTTCTTCTGGCTCCTGTCTAGCTTCTAGATCGATATCGATATCGTCTGCGTCTTCTAAAGACGATCCAGCCTGTAAAGCAGCAAGTTGCTTTAATAGTTCCTCCTCATTTGCTTGAGCTCTGCCACGCCTTCCAACTCTCTGCTCCGATGCAGGGGCTTTCTTTTGGGTCCTTGATTTTCGTAGTGTCAACGGAAAGAATCTGTTCCGTTCTACGTTCCATGCGTATAGCTGGTTATAGAACTCGCTGTCCATACCTTCTTCGCTCTGCTCGACATCGTGAACACCACCAAAAAGAATACCACGTCCCTTGTGGTAAGTCATAGTTGCCCCGGCACGGGCCGGGGCTGGCGTATTTGCTGGCTTCTTCCGCTTCTCCCACCTTACGGTTGGTGGTGTATTCGGTGGAGAATCTGCAGGGGGTTGGGTTATTCGCAAGAAGAAGCAATCTTCGTGTACTAAAGGTTTCAGAACGTTTCTTTGCCCTTGCGATGCGCCCTTAGCTGACTTATTTGCTGATACGGTTGTCTTTACTCTAGAGTAGCCTCCAAATAATACGGCGCCTTGTTCATGAGGGAGAAAAGTAAAGGACGACCTAGCGTCTGGTTTTAGCTGCGCTGATGGAAGCGTAGGGTTATGCCAGACGAAATCCTGTATCAAACATTAGTACCAATCTTGCTACATGAGCTACGAAAATAAACTACTAGCCTGGGTATCATAGAGCCAAAGGTCACTTAAATACTTTGTCTGATTCGAAGTATCTTGAAAGCCTGACTTGATGTTAGCACATTCATTCGAACCCGTTAATAAACTCACGATGTCTCTTACGTACCGCCGAAGAGGATAATATAATTCTTATAGTAAGTCATACGGTGCCCACTCCTTGCGGGAGGAGTCTTGCCCTTGGTTTCTATGCGTGTCCATTCCCGAGTGCTAGGCTCCAGTCGCCAGAAATCATTGTAGTGATAAAATGTACCTTGCTTGGGGCTATATGGGGTGTAACGTTAGTATAGGATCTTATAAGCAACAGCGACAACAAAAACAACACTTGTGTAAGACACGACAGAGATATTATACGACGGACCTGCTAAACTCGCCACCAAATAAGAAAACCGAGTCTTTTTGGTTTCCTCCCCTACACCAGGCATGTCCGGATCGTGGAAGGGGCGCATTCGGTGAAGTCACGCAATGCCATTCATCTCTATCTGTATAGTAGATGTTGAGATCATTGAAGAAACTCGCGAGGGCTCCATTCCAAGTTTCTCCACCAAATAATAACAGCTGGTTGCTATTTGAAGGGGAAGCTAAGAAGGTCGAGGATGACCGGGGCTTCGGAGGGGACTCAGAGACGGTCTCTGTGACCTTAACAAACTCCTCTTGAGCCTTCTTATATTCGGCAAGAACCGCATCTAGATCGACATCTTCGGCATCACTCCCTTCGACTTTTGAAGCCTTGACCTTTTCTTTCTTCTGAGCTTTCTTTTCCTGCTTCTGCTTCTTCTCGGCGAGCTTTGCCTTCTTAGAGTCCGACTTGGACTTCTTGTCCTTTGCCATGGTGAGATTTATTTATACACGTGACGTAGTACCTAAGGCATTCTTCTTGTGCTTCATTAATTTGCCTGGTAAACTTTACCTAGTAAACTTAGGATTAGGGGAAGAAAAAATTGACTAATTTAAACTTGCACTTCAACTTGCAATTGGTGACAGCTGCGCTACGAAGAGGTAGTAATAGACTCTGTTGGGAAGGAGGTCTTTTGCCACCTGCCAGCCCCCCTCTCCCCCCGCACTAACAAAATATGATGTTTAATTCAACTAGCTGCGTTGCCCGCCCGCGCAAGCGCGTACGGGGGAAAGGGGGAGAAAAGGGGGGGATCATGCGCAAAACTGACGCCACAGCTAAAGTCTGGCCTCTGATTGGCTAGCCACACCTTAGCGCACGTCCGATGAATTCTTTTGTAGAATCAATTGAACTATTTCAGTATTGTATAAAAGTTTTGATAATTAGTATTGTTAGATAGAGCTCGTTTTGCGTGATCTTTTTATATTATTCGCATATATTTCAAACGTTATGCGATAGAATGGCAAAGGAAAATGTCGCCAACTGCGGGGCGATTGTAAAGATCTGATTGGTTGGAAAAATTGTGGCGGTATAGAAGAGTAGATGTAACGCCAAATCAATTTTTATAGAGCAGTTTTAGACCCGAACAAGCTTTGCAACACGACAATGCTAATACATACTTTGAGATAGCTCGCCCTTTTAACTTCAAATATTGTAGCTGGAGGGAAGATTATTTTCATAGCATCGCGAACGGGTTTCATTATCAAGACATTGCAAAACTTTAATGGAGGTACAGTGATTTATAAATACCTACCTAGATCCCTTTGTGTCTGTAATTTTCATTTTACTTTCCTCACACAATAACAAAAGTCCCCTACCGGAATGCCAGCAACAAGAACCGTGATAATGCGCAACACGATCCTCAGCTTATTAAGAAAGCGTCGCTGCTTTTCGCTTTTATTTGCCCGCCTTTTCCGAAAGAACGATACAGTTCAACCTCAAAAGAGCGTGTCATACTTAATGAACCTTCCTGTCGAGATAATCCATCTTATCTCTGAACATCTTCCGAATGCCGATGCGGTATGCTTTGCTTTAACCTGCAAAGCTACGTTTTCTATATTACATAAAAACGGAATGCAACTCGACTCACAAGCGAAGGAGATACTTCTAGTAAGACTAGAGAAAGAGGTTCTAGGGCTAATATATAGCCCCTTTTTAAACAAACTGTTGCCCTTTGACAACAACGGCAAGATACCCTTTAACCCATTCTACGAATATGATGGTGAATTCTCATATTTCTATCCAATGATTCGTGGGAATATATGGAGCGTGGTAAATTACGAACAAACCCGGCTTGTTCGAAACTACCGACTATTTGGCCCTGGACACGGCGTTCCCTTGTCGTTTTTTTCTTACAATGAAAAGGAACGTATAAGGTCGATACGATTCATGCAAAATCGGTGTGAAACGTATACCGAAAGTTCGCGGATAGCCAAGTGGGTTGGCGAAGCCCTTTTTTTATCATGTACAAGGACGGTCTATTTAAACAAATTAGGGAAAAGACAGGTTGATATTACGGCCTTACAGGACTTTATCAGAAAAATATATGCATGTGGCAGGCTATGCCATCATTGCATGGTTGATGACTGGCATGGCGGATCCTTATATTACAATCCCATATATGCAGACTTTCCTCAGATTCATACAAAATTATCCGAGAACTCTGCTTACCAGAGTACAGGGTCTTGCAGATTTTGCAAGACTGACTGGGACGTTTCGATTGCGTGGAACGATTCTATGAGCGGCTTGGTCATTACTTATATAACATACCATGATCTGGGCACTTGCTCGTTTCCCTTTGATACGACATGGCAGATGATAACTGGCCACTCTACAAACGTCAATCTACTCGAACAAAACGGACGAAAGGGGCTTTATGGTGACGTAAAGCGCCATTGGATAGAGGCAGTTTGAGGTTTATTTGCACACACATTTTGTCAGGATTCTACAGTAACGGTTCAGAACTATACGCCTAGTTGTTGAATCGGTACTGGTATAACACTGGGAAACCCGCAGGTGGAATGGCATATGAAACCCACGACAGAAAGGAGAGAGAAGAATATACCATTTGACATATGGTTTGGTATAGATGTACAGTCAGACAACCCCCAACCGGCGGAGGGGTCCTGACTCGAATGGTACAAGCACCGGACGCCGCAAGGTGTCAGAATTTTAGATGACACATCTAGAATAAGGAGAGTGTTAGTAAATACGAGCCCTAGGCTCATCAGATAGGTTTAGAGTTCCTTGCAGAACAACGAAGTTGATTGCATATTGTTTGGTACCACCTCGTGACAGAAGGAATATATTTGTTAGACAAGATATTATTATTATTATTAATGTATATGACTAGGCTCCCATATTCACATGATATTTGGAAAGCTTGCCATAAGCTCAATGACCTAGGCGAAATAGCCAACAACAACATTAACATCCTAAGTTCGCTCCGCACAGAGACATAGGTTCCAATATTCAACTAGGGCTATTTGTTAGGTTGTACGCAAGTACGGGTTACTGTAGCTTAACGAAAGATTGAGTTTTTCTACCTGTCAGGTAGAAGCAACATATTACATAACCCAATTTGGTGCAACATACCTGAACTATTCCCGAATTACTATAATAGCAGTCGGAAATGGATGTTGTAACCATTGTATAGCTCAGCAATACCTACCTCTCTGGAATAGATATTGCTGAAATAATAGGTAACTACTTTAATAGCAAGCCTACCTAGGTATTCACCCTGGCTACTGCTTTGTGTGCGGACGCCTCTAGTCTAGGTACATAATGTACTCAGTCTTAACCTTCTGTAAATTTGCCCAGTAAAGGAGACAGACTGGAATAACTTACGTCACTTACACCTGGTATTAGCTTTATCTGAGTTAAGGAAAGAAAGAAGAGCAAATTTACGTCATTAAGGTTATAGTTTGTAACAGAATGAACAAGTCTAAGGAGAGTACCAGGAAAGTGGTCTCGAAAATCGCTTATGTATACACTTACTCCCAGGTCAGTTAGACAACAAGGAAGGTGCAATGTGGAATAAGTTGGCTCGAATCTTAATTGATCGATAGTTGGAACTTGCTCATTATTACCTGCATTGTAGCTGTTGTCTAGGTAGGTAGTATACACTTATTGCTTGAATAGGTAGGCACATACTTCAATTTCCTTTGAGATGTGATAACATAACACCTTCAAGGTATACCGGGAGCAGGAACGTTCATCCAACTTGATGCCTGGTTGGGTCATCTGTGTTGATGTGATTGGGCTGGAATGGGATTTCCTTTGGCTTTTCGGGTCTAGGGGATGGAGCGAACGTGAAATTGAGAGAAAGTGAGAGCAGGAAATCTCAGAGTTTAGGTTCATTAGTCTTTTGACATCGAGAAGTAGTTTGCGGGATACGATGGCACGGGCAGTTACCCTCTACGATATGTTACGTTGAAGTAGTCGTAGTTTCCATCTAGATATCTCAATGATGGAGAAGGAACACCAGAAGCCTAGAATGTGAGGCCAATTCGTCTCTTATGTCCTCTTCCTCTCTTCTCTCTTCTCTCCTCTTCTCTTTTTTATCACCAAATCGGAGATATTAGCACTTCGTTTTCTGACTACCTGCAACGTTCTAGCCATGGCGGGCACTGTTGAAATTGCCACTCTTGTCTGGTCCATCATAGTTGGGATCCTAATCTTTTTGCTTGCCTATACTCCGTTAGGCAAATGGATTACTCGTAAGAGCCAGCCAATTGTGGCTGCTCTGGGTGTCGAAAATCCAGACACCCCACTGCCCTCTGATCAGCAGGGGATCCTGGACGCCCTGGAAAGATCCTATGATACCTATCAGCAGGATCGCCAGGTGATTATCCGGCTCCTGACTGAGTTGAAGAGTGAGTCAGTGGAACATCACGGAAGGACCCACGATAGTCAGCGTGGTATTGTTGCAGCTATTGCTGCCGCTTCTGCTGATGACCGCGCGCATGCCCGCGATTTGGCGCGACAAGACCACGATTTTTTTCGTGAGTTGAACCGTCAACGCGGCCGAGTTACCTACGCTGCGGTAAATCTCGGAGTGGGCAGAATCCTAAGGGAGCTTCCACAGTTACTGTCTCGCGGTGAAAAAACCGATTCCGAAAATCGTCATAGACGTAGGAACTCGGCGTGATTGAGACACGAAGTCTCTTAGCCTCTTGGTACGAGGTGGGCATCGGTCTGAACAAAACAGCCGGTGCCTCTCCAGCGCTGGGGTTGCATCTTGACGCGATGCTGGAGCTTACCACCTTCGGGTGAACTAAGACAATCCCAAATCTTAGGTTTCTGAAGTGTCTTCAAGGTAAGCAATTCCTAGCCTCGGACACACGACGGCAAACATGGAAAGCATCTCACTAACATTCATCAAGTTACCCAACCTCGATCCTCGATGCTCATCCTCGGGACGTCTCCCGTATACGCTATGAAGCTAGTGGGTCTGTTAGGATTCTGGATGGGACATCTGGAATAAAGAACACCGTTGGTACTTACCTACGTATGGCCGTAGGCCCCATAGCTATCTAGGTAGCTTATAGTTCCTCGCCGAACAATAAAGTTGTTTCCCTGCTTCTTGCTCCACCTCGTGACAGACATGGCCTGATATAATCTTGTACGTGACACATCTTGACGGACTGCCATTGATGATGATATAGAAAAAGCCACTCTTCCTGATATATTATCCTCTTGAAAGTAATACGATTACGACGAGGTACTATTGTGGACGTACGGTAGCTATTTCAGACCCGGTCGTCCTTAGATCTGGATACGATCACCCCCGAGAGTGATTATATTACAGAGGATAGCCAATTAGCTGGAGTATTGATCCTTGGCTGGCGCATTGCTATGTTCACCCCTTAAAACTATTGCCGACACCCCGTTGAAAACGTATCCCTAGGCCAAAAAGTCTTGCACATGTCCAAATCTCTAGCACCGCGTTTTATAGTGCATGTCTCTTAGCCATAGTGGACGCTAAGCTAAGAGTTGGATAATGGCCCGTCCACTAAACTCAGGTAGTTTACCACTATATTTATAGCATCAGCCACCATAGCTTAATCAAATCCGTGCAATTCTTTTTCTATTCGTACGTGACTTTACCAAGCTCAGATGCTTCCAACCCCGATTTGTCGTATTTAAAGAGTGATAAAACCTTAGGTACATAGAGGTAAAACCTTTCATACAACTGCCTTAGGTACCTTACATGCTACCTGCTGCATACTACCTCGTTCTAACACACTTTCACCGAGCGAAGACTTCTCGGAACCTCCACCTTCTTGTACATAATGACTTTCAATTAACCTAGGCAGTTGAATTTATTTTCACCCACTTTTCAAAAACCCTCTCATCTTTTATTTCTCTCACCTAACCTAGTCGCCGAGATAGCCCGATAGGCGCTACTTTAATGATGGAATTTGCACCCACTTAGTACTTAGTGACAAGCGGTGACTTGTCCGTCGCATCTATAAAAGAAAAAATCGCCGCCGACCTCCAAACTAGCTCCACTTCACCACGTCCGCCCGCGATAGTATCGATATGTTCTAGCAGTAACTCAGCCTGGGTTTCGTCGCTCCCATCTGCTTCTATCTTACGTGACTGTCCTATTTCTAGCAATCGGCTGCCCCTCGTGGATCTAAGGTTGACCCGGGATTCCAGCTAAGCGTTTAATATCGCGCCTCTTCCACTCTTTGGATCTCCACGCTGGAAATATGGCAAGCACAGAAGTAGAGACAATGGCGGCGAAACCCTCGCAGACTCCTATCCAAGGAAGATCGGCTGTAGTAGAAGCCGTACAAGATATTGTTTATGGATCTGTGAGTTAATTCCAATTAATACGTATCTAGCATCCAGAGCGCTCTAACAATATACAATATTAGACTGCCGGCGTTGTAGGCAAATACATCGAATATCCTTTCGACACAGTCAAGGTTAGATTGCAGTCTCAGCCGGACCATCTCCCTCTTCGTTATACTGGTCCGCTCGATTGCTTTCGGCAGTCTATCAAAGCCGATGGCTTCCTAGGGCTATATCGTGGAATAAGTGCGCCGCTTTTCGGAGCTGCGGCTGAGACGAGCAGTCTCTTCTTCTTTGAGCGCATAGGGCGCGAATTGGTGTACGCGTCGGGACACTTTTCGCGCGATCGGGTACTTCCGCTTCCGGCGCTATGGTTTACTGGCGCCTTTTCGGGAGCATTCACCTCTTTCGTCCTTACACCCATTGAACTCGTAAAATGCAAGATCCAAGTGCCCACAACGACTAGTACAGATGGGGCAGCGCCGAAGCCCCCCCGTATCATGTCGGTCATCCGAGACGTATATAAGCACGAGGGCATAAAAGGTTTCTGGCATGGCCAAATGGGTACATTTCTCCGAGAATCCGGCGGTTGCGCAGCCTGGTTTGGTTCCAAGGAGACCACAACAAAAATGTTCTATCTCCTCAATGAGCGATCTGCTACGTCGCAAGCGGAGAAGGATATCTTGGCTACAGAGGCATTGCCATTATGGCAACAAGCTGTTGCTGGCGCCTCTGCTGGCATGTCCTATAATTTCTTGTTCTTTCCCGCCGACACGGTCAAGTCTCGTATGCAGACTGCACCAGTTGGCCGTTCGACTCAGCCCAGGACGTTTTGGCAAGAAGGAAAAGCTTTGTGGAATCAACACGGACTGCGCGGACTCTATCGTGGATGCGGTATTACAGTTCTGAGATCAGCACCCAGCTCAGCATTTATCTTTATCGTATTTGACGGCCTAAAACGGTATCTTCCGATGTGAATGATGGTTCGAATGACATTTTGGCGATATATCGATATTTACCGACGTATGATAGAGAGAAGGTATAAACAGGGCGAACGTTAGGAGCACTGGCGTTTAGGCGTCATGATTCATAGTTGATTGTCATAGATCTATTGAGCGGTTCCTCGTATATCTCACATACGATAGCGAGTAAGGATGTCTCTACGTGAGCATGAGTCTAGTTACAGGATCCAAAACACGTCTCACAAAGATTGGCCTAAAGAAAATAAATCATGCCTAGTCTTCACTTATGTCCTCTTTGCCAATGTGGCCTCCGAGATATCCCAATTATTCAAGTATCCGACGCCCGCTGTTAGGTATGTCGCAAAACCTAACCACGCCATGTATGGCAGTTGACACCAGCCCGCTATGCTGTCAACTGAGAAGTACAGATATGTCAGGTAGCCGTTCAGCCCGACCAGTGATACAATGTCGGCTAACGCAAGAACCGGTTTTCGTAGCCCGAAGAAGAGAGGCATCCACAACAAGTTCAAGCCGAGTTGCGCGGAATATAGTGCGCGCACCTCGTCTGTCGAGGCGAAAGAAGATGGATTCCTTGTCACGACGCGGTGAGCCGCGTAGCCCATCAACCCGTAGAGTACTGTCCAGACAGGACCAAAAACCTGTGGCGGAGGTCGCAACGGCGGCTGCTTCATGGCAACATATGTGGCCTGGGTTTGTTTTGCTATATGTGTTCCTGTCAGCGGTGCATGTCCGGGTGACCTGATACTTGGAAGTAGGAAGCACGTACGTCGAGAGCTAAAGCCTACCGTAGTGCCCAGCACAATAGGTAGCAGTATCGAGGCGGCCGGGTTCGCGAATACATCATTCGGTATTGCGTTGAGACGAGGAATGTACGCAGTCATCCTGAAGAAAGCACCAGGTTTGTATAACTACTGGAATATCGCAAGTATTAAGAGACTACTCGTTCCTTACGTGTCTATCTTCAACCTGGTGTGTCTAAGATTATAAGGTATGGGCACGTAAAAGTTCGCTCGTCGTATTAATAAGAGACTGAAGCCTCGGAGTTGCTATGACGTGGGGTATTTTTATGTACGTCGGGTATATTTCTACCTGTTTAAGCTTGAAGTGGCCTCATCTTTAAGTCTAAAGCTAATGCAGAGCTTCTAACCGCCGATTTGTCCTTGAAGTCTTTGGATTGGTATCGGCGCTAAAGTTTCTAATACCTACGGCAACAGCCATGGTAGTGTACCTAATGTGAGCTAGTTTCTCAGATTGCATGTGCTGTTTTATTCCTGGATACGTTACTACGGCAAATGAATATATGCAGGGTATATGCAAGTATCCGGTATGAAGAACTAACAACGGCAGGAACGAAACACCGGCAAATATCAATTTACAACCGCCGCATCAATGCCATAATTTGGGTTTATCGCACATCCTCCTACATGTTCGTCGTTACGGGGACATATCATTCGTCACACGGAACGCCCCACTATTCATTGCATTCAACAGCACTTCTGTATTTCCCCTTAGTTTCAACTCTATTCGGCACGTGCGGCGCGCCACAACTGCTGACTAATACCTGTCTGACGCGCTTTCGTTGTCGACATTCTCTGCCGCATTCCACATTCCACCGGGGGATTAGCCACATCCGCCCGTTGTTAGTTTGGTTGGTCCGTCGGATAGTTTTGGTTGGTTGTCCAAACCTCCAACAACTTCTCTTCCCTCACAAACAATCAGCGGACATCCAGCTTGGGACATCGCGCCCTCAGGAATCTTCCGCCATCGTCATTTATAGTTCGTCTATCCTTTCTTCTCACCACTTCCTTCTTATCAAATGGCCTTTTATTATAGCACTCCCATTGTTATCCCCCCGTTTTCCTCACGATCTCTTCCCCCTTTAGAAACCTGTACACCTTGACCGAAGCTCATCTTCCTCTAACCATCACTCCGCTTTCCATGTCCACCCTCCAAAAGCCGTGAACAAACTTTTTATGTCTTCCTTGCTCCCCCATTTTCGGTTTGCTTATTGCAGAGCTCATGCTCCCGCCCATGCTCAGCTTCTCAATTTGGCTTGCCGATGAACATTATCTCTTGTGATCTTGCTAGACCAATACATTTTATTCTTCTCATTGCTCACCCCAAACATTATCAAGATGGTTTCTCTAACGGCAATCGCCTCGTCAAACAATAGGGAACAGGTCCAATTCCAAATACAAGTAATCGGTATCACCTAACATCCGACGATTATCGCTTATACAAAACCAACGTCTACGCCATCGCCGTCGCATTGATAAAGAACATCATCAAGAACCCCTTTAATATAACGCGAAACCGAAAATCCTCAAACCAAGAAGAGGCCAATACCAATTGTGTCACAGTGAGCAGACAAGATGGACTCGTACTCGTATCGCGACGCCTCCGGTCGCTCTCCCCCCGAACGCGGTTGGAGCGGCCGTGATGATCGCGTCAAAGATGAGTCTCGCGACAACTTCTACCGTGGTCGTTCACCTGGTGCGTTTACGGTCACTTGTTGATTTTTTCCTTCTTCATGCTGCATTATATCCTAGTTGATTTATACTATGTCTTCGTTTCACATACTATTTCGAGTGGCATTTTATTCGACTTATATAGCTTCAACCTGAGACTGACTATAATAGGCCATGACCGCCCACGACGTAATCGATCGCGTTCCCCCCCACCAGTTGACCGCTACGAGCCCAGAGGACGTGGTCGAGACGACCACGCTGGGCCCCGCGACCGAGATGACAGACGACGCATTAATTCACCTCCGGCGAACATTGACCGTTATGTTCCCGGCCCAGGAGGCCCTCAGCCTCCTCAACCAACAGTAAACCCGTTGACAGATCCTGTCAAATTGCCTTTCCAAGTCGGTTTCTCTTACTTTGGCGAATGGTGGCGAGCCAATGAAAAGATCAAAGAGGAGAAGGAGCGCGCCCGAACTGGTCGGAGACGCGACCCCGAACGACCCCGTAGAGACACGCAAGAAGATCGCGATAAAGAGAAGGCCAGAATCCAAGCTGCTTATGATGCGTACAAGGAAGAACTCCAAGCTAAGATGGCTAGAGCTTTCGTCGCCGAACATAAAAAGGAGCAAT